GCGGCAGGGAGGGGGAGGGGAAGGGGCTTGTGCAGCGGGGGAGGGGAGGGAGAGGGGAAGGAGAAGGGGCTTGTGGGGAGGGGAAGGGGGATGGAGAGGGGAAGGAGAAGGGGCTTGTGGGGAGGGGAAGGGGGAAAAAAGGGGAAGGCACCAAGAGACAAATGGCAGGGGGCCAAGTGCAGAAAATGAGGGTAAGGGTAGGAGGAGAGGTGTCAGCCATCTGTTACCCTCACATGGCTATTCAAAGTATCTGTTACTAGCATAATAAGAATTAACTAGATTGGTTTGGTTTTGGGTCTCCCACCTACTCAGTATATGCCATTTCCTTTATAATGAAATATTGATTTGTATACTTATCGGCACCAGGAGAGTGCAGGACTAAGGGCAAGTGCAGGTTCCAGGGGATTCTGGGGTGAAGCAGAAGGGAAGACACCTGCAGGGGAGGGAATAGCACCAGAGGGGAGAAGCAGGGCAGGTGTGTAGACAGAGGTGTTGGAAGAGGGGATGAGGAGGCATAACTCACTTGATCAGAGTGGGGCTACTGAAGGAGTGGGCACAGGGGGAAGTGAAGGGGTGGTGGAGGGGAGCAGGTCGCAGGAGGGCTGAGGGCACTCAGAAGGGCAGGAGTAAGAACAGTAGAAGAGGGTGAGGAGTTGGGGGGCAGCAGGCACCAGGGGAGATGATGGAGCAAGGAGAGGAGACATGGCAGCAGAGAGAAAAAGTAAAGTTTTAAAAATATTTATTAATAACTTGGTATGCTGCCCCAGGCCAGTTTGTTTGCACCCCATGGTGCAGTTTGGGTTTATGTGGGGATCAACACGTGGCCAGCGAGTGGGAGCCAAAACAAAAAAGTAGTCAGTGTAATGATCTTCTGTTGAGATGCGTTTTAGTAGTTACATTCTTGGACTGTCATTGCTCATGAAAAGTGCTGTCACATGGGTAGAAATCGGGTAAATATTGCATTTTATTAATATCAGCAGAGCTGACTTAAATGAGGTCCGTGTGTTGTGTAGTCTTGCCTTAATCTTTGTATGCATGCCTGTCAGTGTGAGAGAAGCTATTTGTATATATTTGCTTGCATATACAACCACACTTAAGTTGAGGCCCTCAGCATGCTCTGTAAGTATCAGTGTGGCCCCTGGGGCTTCCAAAGTTGAGTTGTCCTAGCTCATCCCTGACAGGTGTCTGTCTAACCTGGTCTTAAATATTTCCGGTGATGGAGATTCCGCAATCTCACTAGGCAATTTATTCCAGTGTTTAACCACACTGACAGGCAGGAAGCTTTTCTTAATGTCCAACCTAAACCTCCCTTGCTGCAATTTAAGTCCATTGCTTCTCATCCTAACCAAGGAAAACAATTTTTCTTCCTCCGCCTTATGATACTCTTTTAGATACTTGAAAGCTGCTCTCATGTCCCTTTTCGGACTTCTCTTTTCCAAGGTAAACAAGGCCAATTCCTTCAGCCTTGCCTCATATCTCATTTTCTCTAGAACGTTCATCATTTGTGTTGATCTTCTCTGGACTTTCTCCAGTTTCTCCATGTTTCCTGAAATGTGGCGCCCAGAAATGAACATGATACTCCAGCTGGGGCCTAATGTAGATGGCTCAGTCCCTGCCTAGGGGACGTGAGACTGGGCAGGTTAATTTCCAATCCTCCTGTTTATTCTTTTCCTAAGCCAGGAGGGCATAGTAGTTCTGATGGGGGGGCTCTGCAGAAAGGCAGCCCGCACTGCTCCCTGCTTGAAACCTTGTGCAGGTGTTAAACAGTTGTCCAGCCCACCCTAGAGGTGACTGCATTTCAGCGTGCCTGAAGTAACACAGCACCAGCAACAGACAGGGGAATGGCTCCCGGGCATGGCTTGCTCATGACTGCTTCAGTCCCATTGGATGGGCCTCTGCCTCTTTTCTTCCCCTCCCCCGCTTTGCAGTGGGGTTGTAGACTCTGGGGGAAGAGGGGTGGACGCAGGCAGAGGTATCTCCTTGCAGCAGATGTGGACATTCTCTCATTGAAGTTTTTAGCTTTGTATTGAGTCTTTTTACATGGAAACTTTGTATTAAGTCTTGGTAGACTAGTCCATAGGACAAGTGAGGCAGAGACTATCCCTGTGGGGTTAATAAGGTGGGAATGTATAAGGCGGAAGGTGAGCACCTCTGGGCAGTTGCAAAGGTTAGAGAGGGGATAGAAGCCAGACCAAAGATCAATGATCTCTGGGAAATGGGCCCATTGAAAAGAGACTGGATCTGTGGATGCTTTGGGGGTCAGCAGCAAGTGCCTGCTTTGGGAAGCCCCCTCTTTGGAGGTGAATGTGGCAGCATTGAGACACTACAGAGAAGCTGGCACCACAGACACT